TCTAAATTTGATAAATAATAAATAAGATCTCGACTAAATAAGATAATTAGTTCCATCAAGTTTTACGAGACTAATTTGTAATAAAGGGTTATCAAAACTAGTAACACTCATATTTTTTGCTTATGTCATCTTAGAATGTTAAAAATAAGAAGAAAAAATACCCAGTAATGAAAAATGAATCTCCTATCTGCACCAAGGAACCAAAAAGGGATCAAAATTTGATAAATAATAAATAAGATCTCGACTAAGTAAGATAATTAGTTCCATCAAGTTTTACGAGACTAATTTATAATAAAGGGTTATCAAAACTAGTAACACTCACATTTTTTGCTTATGTCATCTTAGAATGTTAAAAATAAGAAGAAAAAATACCCAGTAATAAAAAATGAATCTCCTATCTGCACCAAGGAACCAAAAAGGGATAAAAAAAATCGAAAAAAGGACAAAAAAAGGGAACCAGATCTGGTTCGGCTGGGCTGGGCTGGGCACCGGTTCGGATGCGGACAGCTTTGCTTAGGCGTGGACGAACCAGGTTGAAGTGGTCTGGCGCGCGGAATGGCCACACTAGACGTCCCATGCGCGGAAAAATGGACGCGAGGGAGGGGCTCTGTCCGGTCAATGCAGCGCAATTCTGATACCATGAAGTTTTTGGAAAAAACAAACTTCTAATTTTATTTCTTATTTCTTGTATTTACGTTTATAAGATATATATAAAGTAGTTATTTTTATTTTATTTGAACTCTAATTATAGGATATAATTATATTATTAGAACTCTAACTAATATAAAATTCTATTTAGCATGAACTCTTTTAAATTTTACTACTGCCCCCCTCCATTTTAGTTATAATTAAATTTCAGCATACGGCATTTGATGAACCCATAAATTGTCCAAGCTTCAAGTCTTAACTAAACTTTTTTTTTTTTCTAAAAAATAAGCCAAATAAACTTTAATTTTAAGTTTGAAAACATGAAGTTACAGTAAGTTTCATATTAATGGCCTCTCTTGCTCTCTCCAATAGATGTAGACTTCTTAGTCATACTATGCAAATCCTTGCATGGTGGAATATGTTATTTCTCTACTGTCATGCTTAAAATTTAACACCATTTGTCTAAAGGCTAACTAATCCAACATCAGCTACTCTGCTAAAATTGGACTTCAAAAGGACAGCTTACAAATTGCAGGTTGATGCTTGGATTTATCAAGTTTTATTATAACCACTGTTTTATAACATGTCCTTCCTAGCTGACTCATTGCTTATATGAAAAGGCATTCATCAAAGAAATAATTTAGTTTGTTGCTCCAACAGAATCTACCAACAAATTGAATCACATATAATGTCACAACTTGGAAACAAATTATAATGCATCAGAAAACCAATTGGAAAGGGAGATCTAACAAATATTGTTTCACATGTTCTGGATTTAGAACAGTAAAAATAATTTTTTTTTTTAAAAAATGACAATATCAATACATACCGACAGATTATGCACTACAACATTTTTAACATCTTGCATCTGCAGTTCAGCCTGTGAAAATTCAAAGAGACAAGTATCAAAAGCAAATCCATAAGAAAGCTACCAACTACAGAAATGTTATCATTAAGAAAGACAGACTTGAATTTTTTCTTTTTAGTTAAAGGGCAAATCCCCTTGGTAAATGGGGATTCGGACCCCTACCCAGCACCTCACCGACCTAAAGTGGTGCAAGAGAAATACC